CACAATCTTACAAAATTATTACTATTTTTTTATTTACCAATCACCCCCTCCATCCTGCTCTTCTGTCTTGCAGAGCTGGCTGAAGTCATATCTGTCAGATCTGATGGATAGTTTGCCCAGTCAGCCTGTTGTTCCTCCTCCAAAGGAATTCTACTCTTGGCTTGATCTCTCTGCTCTTCGTCGCAAACTTTTTGAGCTCAAAACGAGCAGCACATTACAAAATCGCAGGAAACGTGAAGGTATGTGTGCCATACAGTGCATAATGTGGTAGAGAAACAATGTCTTTGTGAAACCAGACAGTTAATGATATATGTTCTTATTGTTCTCAGAGAATAACCAATAGTGGAAATGATTTTATCTTTCTGGCAGTTTTTCTCACAGTGATGTCTACTCTAGAGCCTACACTCATTTATATTGAGGACCTAAAACAGGGGAATATATACTGGACTCCCACTCAGCTCAGTAAAATGACCGTGCAGACTTTTCAAGATGCCGTGCCAACATTAGGAATGATAAACAACTACAGCACAGAACAATTGGCTGCACTCAAAGCAAAAATTGTGGAGGTACACAAACACGCACACACTTTAAGGTTGCTAAAGTCTAGAAAAAATATTACATTCTAATGTATGCACAACAACAGAATTTAAAAATAACATTTACATCTGGACTGCAGTGGTCAAAGACAATGTCTATTGTTTATTGCAGGCATGGGGTAGTGTGTCCATGTTGAATGAGTCCCAGATTACTCAACTGGGCTGCATCTGCCAGGGTTTCAGTGCTGAAGAGCTGGGCAACATCAGCATCACCTCACTGGACACTCTGGAAGTGCTGACTGCCTGCAGCTTTACCCAGACACAGGTAATACAAACAAGCACACATTCAGTCACCAAACAGCATCTAGAATTTATATATAAAAGATGGTAAATATGCTATAAAAAGAAACATATCTATTTATTTTTTTATTCACACTACCATTAAAAAGTCAGCAAGAAATTATTTTTTTACTCACTGAGGATGCATTAAACTGATCAAAAGTGACAGTAAAAATATTTTAATTTTTTTAAATAAATGAACTTGTTCTTCAAAGAATCGTGAACAAAAATTGTATCACAGTTTTCAAAATACAGCACAATACTTTGTAAGAAATGTTTCTTGAGCACCAAATCAGCATATATAAAATATGATTTCTTAAGGATCAAATGACACCGAAGACTGGAGTAATGATGCTGAAAACCAGCAGTTATTTGAAATTGTATTTTTTTCTAAATAATATTACTGTATTTTTTAATCAAATAAATGCAGCCTTAAAAAAAAAAATATATATATATATATTAATATTGAAAAATCTTACCAACCCTAAACATTTGAATGGTAGAGAATGTTTTAATTTATTGGTATTTGGCATAGATTAAATATATACAGAAAAATGCAAAAACAAACATGGGCAAAGCACAAAACCAAACAAATACTAAAAGTGATGGATTCTGCAGAGGACAGCCATCTGGCATGCTTATGAAAGGGTGACTGGAATCAGCGTGGCTGGACTAGGACCACTGGAGATGATGGGACTGGGACAGTTTATCTGTGGTCTACAACCTGCCCAGATTGATCAGCTCAATTCCACCAGCTTTAGGTACTTCCATATTTGTGGCTATATTTTCATTTTCAAGGATGTTTATGCACACTGCAGCACAAAATACTGTAGCTACTGTTAAGCAAATACTATAAACAGACCTGGTCATTGTGATGCCCTGTGATATGTGTCTTTACTAGGGAGGCAGTAGAGGCGGTGGGTCGTGCTTCTTGTCTTCTGAACGTTAGAGAGCGTCTTAAGGAAAAGGCAATGGCTGTATTTGGAAAGCCAGAAACTTGGACTGAAGCTCAAGTTAGTGAGATGGGCAACATCCTTGGTGAGGACAACTACTTTAAGTTAAATAAGTAAATAGTTTGCATTTAAAATGCAAGAACTGCCTTTGTGTCTCTCTAGCTGGTCTAAGCACTGTTGAGCTGGGACGTCTAAATTCATCCGTCTTGCCATTCGTTCAGCGGTCTGCCATCCCTCTCATACCCTCGGATCGCTTAGCTGTAAGTTTTCTCTCTCTTTTGCAAACTAATTTTTTATTTAGCTCCAGGTTCAGTTATTATCACATATCTTATGTTGCATCAGTTCTTAAAGGTACAGTAAGTGATATCTGAGAAAAGCTGTTGCAAGTAGATCGGACTAAGAACCACAACGCGCTTGTAGCCAATCAGCAGTAGGGGGCGTGTACACTCATACTGGGGGAGGAGAGAGTGAATAAGAGGGAGATTTGAAGAAAGACTGTAGAAAGAGCTGAGAGACTTAAAAGAGAAAAGATCAGAGGAATATCACTGGAAAAAGAAGGGTTATGGTGAAGCAAGAGCTAGCTTTATCTTTAGACTGATGGGCGACATCCCGGCAAGTTCGCATTTCCTGCTTACCAGTGCAGTGGTTTGCAAGTGAGTGTGTTTCTCCCCGGGCGCTTCAGCACCAAGATTTCCTCTCTAAAAGAGCTTGCACGACTAAAGATTTTAAAGATGCCTCGCCCGTCCACTTCTGGATGCGGCAGACTCGGGCCTGACTCTGATAGGGACCCGAGCACTGTCTAGTGTTTTGGGCATTGATCAGGCCAGAGAAGCGGGATCTCTGTGGTAACATGACCATCACTTGACTACGGGTGAGAATCAGTGAGCTCGCAAGAGTTAGAGTCCCCTCATCCACACCCCGATCTACTTCCTCTAGGATTAGAGCTAGTACTTTGGCTGGTGGCCAGGGCGGCCTGAGGGTGACGGTGTGGAACAAGGCGCCGACTACACGCCCGTGCCCTGCACCTACCGCTCCCATGACGATGCCAGCTAGCGTCCAGGGGATTCCCGCGGGCCCATCTTCGGATGTCCCGTGAGTTTCCTTTGGCGCTACAGAGAATGATGCAATGTCTGTCGTTGCATCACAAGGTGGGCAAGACCCACTTCCCACCTAACCCACTCCTTCGGGAGTGCAGTCGTTCGTCGAGTTCGACCCCGAGAGGAGTCCAAGTCCCGCCCAGTCCAAGCAGCAGCCTTCACCCAGGCCCAGTCATGGAGGAGGACGCCCCAGCCCTCTCCAGCAGATTACATTCGTACTACACTACACAAATGCATACTTTATAGATCTTAATTTTTTAGCAATTGATAAAATTACCCTTTCTCTAACAGACTTAGGAAGGGCCCATTGTGAAGGGATTCAGGTGTTCACATTTGTTTGAAATGCCCCTCAAATGGCATAGCCTTCCCTCAGTGGCCATTAAGGGTGCAAAAACGGCATTTGGAATTTCCCCAAAGAAGTTACTGTTAAAATATGTGTTCAGGCAATGTCAGTCAGCCAGTTGAAGGCTTTGGGCCCTGAAAATGCTGCCATGGTCACGGAGGCTCAGCGCGCAGGCCTGAGAGTCGATCAAAGGTCTGCACTGGATGAAGCTGTAGGACTGAAAACTGCACGTGCTGAAGTGGCCAGTCCAAGCCCCAGTGGATTAAACCCAGTTTCCCCACTGCCACTAAAAGGAGGTGAGTGACAGGAGGATGGTGGGGGGTAAAGATTTGGACCTTTTATTTTAAAAACAATTGTAGTCTTAAACTTATGTTTCTCTTCCTCCTCCAGGCGCAGCAGCAGAGAGCATGACAGGATGTGTCCTCATGCAGGCCATCGTGCTAATGTTACTTAGATACATTCTCTAAGGAGAAGAAGGGTCAAAGGTCACAGATATAGCATGGGTCAGATGGCAGATTCACATGATCATGTAAACCAGTAGATTAGTATCTGGCCATTTATGAATTGCTATATTTCTAATTTATATTTAAAACGTAGTCACTGAATGCACATTTTAACTTTAAAATAAAGCCACATATAGTATGCTGAGGCAGGGGTTTGATAAAACTGGGGTCTATCCCATTAAATGTATTTTATAGAGAAACTATATTTGATAATAATGCTGTTTAGATCTTTTCACACGCAGATTTATTATTCTATGAAATATTTAATACTGTGCATACATTATTAAATTGTAGTTTTGTTATGAAATTTAATTTGTTAAATGTTTATATTAGAGGTTGTGTTCTTTGGTAGCATAATTCAAATCATTTATACCCCAACATGAGGTTAATAAAAGTCATATCTGTAAAGAGAGTAAGTGTGAAATTTGAATACAGTCAAACCAGAGACTTTCACACCCTCAGGTGGTGTAACACACACCAGTTTACTTCTGATGACTTTAACTTCATACCAACCTTACGTCAGGTGCATAGGCCACAAAATTGTGTGATTTGTCTCACCTACTTAGTCTTTGTCTACTCTTGATGGCTAAAAGAGAAGTTATGAAAATTATTCAAAATGGATGATACGCCTCATTTATCGTCAAAGAGCTCAGGCTGAAATGGAAAAACTTTTGGTCTTTCAAACTTCCAGATCCCTTGCAAATATCAAGGATTGCAAAATACATACCATTCAGTTTGTGGTGAGTAAGATTAGTTTATTTTATTTAAGAAATTGATACTTTTATTCAGCAAGCACACAGGAAATCAATAATCACAGTAAAGCAAATAATTATAGTAAAGACTTACATTCTTACGAAAAACTATTTCAATTAAATACTGTACTTTCTATTAATAAAATAATTCTGAATTTATTTTATTTTTTCCACAAAACTAATAAGCAACATGACTGTTTTTAACACTGATAATAATAGGAAATGTTCCTTGCAGCACCAAATCATCATATTAGAATGAATTCTGAAGAATCTTGTGACACTGCAGACTGAGCCTTTAGGTCACTGAAAAACAAGTACATTTCAATAAATCCTTTTGAATATTTCAGATGATAATCCACAGATTTTCTCTGGAATCTGGGCTACAATGTATATCAGTATTTCAAGAACTAGCTTCCAAGTGAGGTGATTTATAGTTTTATCAGTTGTTTATAGACAGTATAACAGGACATCGAGAAATGATTTAGCCATTATTGGTTTTTTTTATTTATCTCAACAAAATCTATATGAAACAACCAAAAAGGTATAATGCAAGAGGTTACATTACAACAAAGCTCTATTAATTATCTTTACAAAGAAAACCAGAAGACAATGTGTAAGGCACCAATAAAACATAAGTCCAGCACAAACATAAAAAATATACATTTTTAACTCCATCACACACACACACAACAAATTCCTCCCAGTGAGGAAACAATCATCTGAGGCCTTTAAGTATAATCTGGTCTTAAAGAATCTTAAGACTAAATGAAGAAGGCACTTATTTCGTTCTCATTCTAAAGATCAGCAACTATTCAGCAAGTTTCCTGATTTGAATCTATGGAAACACAAATAGAAGAAATACAGACATTAAACATAAAAATAATGATTCAAGCACAAAGGAGTCACCTGATTCTGGACCATTTGGCTATGCTAAACCGTTATTAATTACAGTATTTTATTTAAAGTAAGCTGCATTTTGCATTAGAGAAACGGACCGGGTTTTTTTTTGTTTGCACAATGGAATCAGTAGGCACAGAAATATAGCAGGATTGGTAAACATGACCCTCTGAATATGTTGAGAACTCAAAGACATGACGCTCAGTGTCTTTCCCCTTTCCCCAAACCTCTCAGATCAATTAAGAGCTTGTTATGATCACTTTATAGGTTGATCGAACCTAAAGCACTCCTCTACAGCATTACTTGTTCGACAACATGCTCCCCTCGACTTTGATTTGACAAAGAGTAACTAAATGTTATTACAAACATGATTTGCCCCCAACGCAGTGTATTTTTCTAGTTTGTTCAAAGAATGCGACAAACCTAAATGTTAATAATCTGCAGAGAGGACGCTCTATTATATTGCCCACTAATACATACCACTCACTTTCTGCTGATTCTCACAAAAAAACACTGCTCACATTTCACCCAGATCAAAATCGAAGAAAAAATACATACATGAGAAATTATATGTTTCATAAAGAATTGTAAATCTACTTGAATTAAATATAAGTTTTTATAACAATTTAGTACTTCTCTTTTTTTGTCAAAGCGTACATTTGGACATTTTACTTCTGAGATTTCAATTATCAATAATTTGTTATTGTGTGTTATTTGTTACTGTGATGCTGTATTTTTTATTTAAATGAGCATAAATAAAGGGCTATAAATTATATTATATAAATAAATAAAAAAATTATATATATATATATATTTTAATTTTACTTAATTAAAAATAAAAAAGTAAATATATATACTTAAATCAAAAAAGTAAAAAAAAAAAAAAAATGATGTAAAAAAAATCTCAAAAATTAAAAATAGTCCTAAAATTGGGCTTCTTTTTTCTTCAAGTAGAATATAATTTCTTATTTTACGTTTTTTTTTATTTTGGAGTGGCAAATGACACGGACATGTTCTTGCCAGGTTTCATGATTTTTATCCTCGTGTTAATTTTTTCCTGTCTCTCTACGCTGGTTTGTCGGTTTTGTATGCGGTGATGAAGGCCATGCCGTGAGTTCTGAAATGTGTATTAAGATCAGCGGGTTTGTTAAAGTTACGTCGACACACCTTACAGGTGTGCTTACCTTCCCCATCCTCTACCTGTGTCCCCCCTACACTCGATGGTGACCCCGGGGACCCTGCTGCAACTGCAGAGTCAGAGGTCACATGTCCAGAAGTTAAACCAGTGACCGGAGACGCCTCGGTGTGATCGGAGGGGGAATCCCGCACGCGATGGCTGATGAAGAGATGCCTGCTGAGGGAGGAGGCGGAAGCGAAACACGCCCCGCACTGCTGACACTGACAGGTGCTCGTCCCGTCACGGTGACAGACAATATGCTGGAGAAATTCCTCCCTCTCCTCTGAGGTAAAACCACACGGCATGCAGCGAAATCCCGTGGCTTCCTGCTCCTCTTTAGCTCTTTTGCTCTGTCTTGTCAGGCTGCTCTCAGCCAATTGGCTTTCTGCCTCAACTGAGGCCCCACCCAAAGTACCACCATCGTGCTCCGAAGAGCTGTCAGCTGCATCTGTGATTTGAGGAACTGCCTGCGAGATGAAAACACTGTAAGTGACTTGCACTGACAAAACCACAGGAAGTCATTTCACTTTCAATGAGCCTTACAGCTCGTTCACATCAAGAATGATAACTATAATAACAATATTAGCGTCCACACCAATGCGCCATAATGTTCAGTTTATTTTAAGCTTGCGCAACAGTTATGTCATATACCACTATAAATGCTCAAGCTCTTTAAAGCAGGATGGTTTCTAATTGGCTGTCTTTTTTTTGTTTTGTTCATAAACTGGAAAAAATTATTCTGAAAGTGATTCCAATGATATCATTTCACTGAACCGTTATCAACACAGTTGTGGTTTGGACTTCCCTTTAAATTTTTTAATTATTTTTAAAACTACATCCTTATAGTTATCATCCTTGGTGTGAACGAGCCTTAAAGGAATAGTTCATTTAAAAATGCAAATTCTTTCAAACCTGTATGAATTTATTTCTTCAACTGTAACCAGACAGTTGATGGATCCCACTGACTTCCATAGTAGGAAGAAAACACTATGGAAGTCAATAGGGTCTATCAACTGTCTGGTTACTGACATTCTTTGAAATATCTTCTTTTGTGTTCAGCAGAAGAAATTCATACAGGTTTGAAACAACTTGAGGGTAAAGGATAGTAAAGGATGACAATTTTTTTTTTTTTTTAAGTGAACTATTCCTTTAAGTGTTGGTACAGTTTGTTCAAAGACTCGATGCATTTGTGAAAAGTGAAAAAAAATCGTTATGCAAATGAACACCGACACAATGAGGTGTTCAAATATCTCAGTTATAATCAAATTTTTACCAATAACTTTACGCCATCTAGCAGTAGAAACACCTACTAGAGAGCAAATGTTACAGTGACCCTAAGCAAAAAAAAGTCACTGTTAGGTGGTCATGGTGTTGGACATATTATGCCCATCTGACAGTGTATTTGAGCTCTTACCTGACTTTGTTTGGCTGCTCTTCTGTCTCCACCATGCTGAGCCTCAATATGTTTCTCAAGAATTAGCTTACTGCTGAAACTCCTCTTCCCACCTGTACAAAGTCTTCACAACAAGAGACAACAGTAAATAACCTAAAAAAATTAGTGTTAAACTTCCCTTTTAATTTATGCTTGGATAAAAGGATAAAACTATGATTAAATAAGAGAGAAACACTGCTGAAACTGAACCCTGCTGAACTAAGCCAAACTTAAAAATGATGGCAGTTGTAAGAAAAGGTCTAACATTATTTGATTGCAAAATATTTTGTAATGTTTTACATGCGATTCCAAGACATTCATAACATTTTAAGTGTCTAAATACTTAATGGGGCTATAGTACATATGTCCTATACTCACTGGCAATAAAAAGCTCTTTTGATTCCTTTGTGTTTGACACGAATGTGGCGTCTTAAACTCGAAGATGACGAGAAGGAGCCTTCACAAAGAGTGCATGGAAACTTCTTCAGCTCCTTCAAACAAAAATGTCAATGTGTTTTTTATACATCCATTAATACATTCATTTGGTTCAGGACAAATCAGAAAACATTCAAATTTTCAAAATGTGTTTTTATAGCTTGAAAATGTTTTTTATTGTAATGTTGTAAAATTCTGCGAACTTAAATATGTTATATTATTTCATCAATATATAATATAATATTATTTTCTACATTTAAATATATTTAATATAATTTCCTTTGATGTAAAAGCTGAATTTTCAGCATCTTAAGACACTGATATAGTCTTCTCAGTGTAACATGATCCTTCAGAAATCATTTGCTGATTTGATGATCAAGAAAAAATGTTTTATTATCGTCATAATGGATTT